TTCTCGTTGGCTGTTTTGACTGAAGAGCAGAAAGCAGCCAGGGTTAATTGGTGTCAAAAAACGCTTGACCGTTTAAATTCCGGAAAGTCAAAAAATGTGTACAGCATTGTTAGTGGTGATGAATCGTGGATTTACTGTTATGAACCAAAAAATAAACGACAGTCGGCTGTTTGGGTGGTCGAAGGTGAAGAAAAGCCAATAAAAGTCATCCGTTCTCGAAGTGCTTCGAAAAAGATGGTCGCGACATTTGTGTCAAAAGCGGGTCATATTGCAACAATTCCTCTTAATGAGCAAAGAACTGTTACTGCAGATTTTTATATCACCAATTGTTTGCCAAAAGTCATCACCGAGCTTCGAAAAATCAACCCCGAAAGAAGAATCATCCTCCACCAAGACGATGCAAGCTCGCACACAACCCAAAAAACAAGCCAGTATTTAACGGAAGAAAAAGTGGAATTATTGGACCATCCTCCATATAGTCCCGATCTAAGTCCTAACGATTTCTTTACTTTCCCAAAAATTAAAAACAGACTGTGTGGTCAAAGGTTCCAGTCACCAGAAGAAGCAGTTGACGCATTCAAAAATGCCGTGTTAGATCTGCCAGCAAACGAGTGGAATAAGTGCTTCGAAAATTGGTTCGACCGCATGCAGATGTGTATTAATCTTCGAGGAGAATACTTCGAAAAACAATAAAGTCATTTAAAACTACCTATCGTGTTGTTTTATTTCCATATGCAAAACTTAAAAGACATCCCTCGTAATCTCCTTGAAAAAAATAATGAAATTCAGCTCTTATCGCTGGAGAAAATGTATCAGAAATTATGCCCTACCTCAATGTTATAAAGGCTCCATGATTCGTCTTGATTACAGAAGATGTGCTGAAACAATTGTATATGATGGCGTATCCATGCAGTGTAATGATAAATTCGTTTGCAACACATGCCTCACATAGCCCAATATATGAAAAATAGAAAGTGACAGAGATCATAGTAATTACACAGGAAAAGATACCGAATGAGGTTAAAACGTAAACGTACAGATCCAAATGACTGCTGCCTACCATCTCGTTATTTCAAAGGCTAACTTAACACCATCGAGCTAAACTACTAGGTCTAATCCTAAAGCAGCAGACGCAAGAGTTTGGCAGACTTCAGTGTATGCTTAGGTCATTGGAATAGCTACTAGAACGACTGATAGAAGGTAGGCTAAGAAAATACGTCGCGGAAAAGAACCAGCTGTCAATC